AACAGAATCAAAGCAAGTAGGAAAAAAATTCAATAAAAAAAATGCAGAAACAAAAAAGAATATTAAAAATAGTTGGACTAATGAAAAGAAAAAAGTTGAATTAATGATGTTTCAGTTGGACTGTTTATCTAAAACAGTCGACGGCGATCCTAAACTCACCAATAGGCTAGTATGTTTGTTTGGAGATCAGATAAAGCAGATCAGACTCACTTTATGAAATGCAACCTCTGACAAAAAGCATAACCCCTTTTTAGTTACTATGGCTCCTGCACATGATGCATCATTCATCAAGCTTTCTGACTTAAAAGGTTTTGCTTTTTTTCTATAGGGACACAGCAGGACAAGAGAGGTTCAAAACCATCACTACAGCATACTACAGAGGAGCCATGGTGAGGACTCCATGCCTGTAATAGTGGCAGGCTGGATACCTTGCATCTTGTCATTGTGCTTATGGTTTATCCTGTGATTGAATCTCTAAATTGTCTCTTCTTATAGGGCATCATCCTGGTTTACGACATCACTGATGAGAAGTCCTTTGAAAACATCCAAAACTGGATGAAGAGCATCAAAGAAGTGAGGCTGTTTCTATTTCCATCAGACCACATAACTGATCAGTTAAACATCAGAGATGATACTTTTACATCAATACTTTAGTAGTATAGGAGGGCGGATTTGAAAGAAGAGCGCTTGACATAACACATCTGTTAGCGCTAAGGCACCGTTTACCTTGTTATTTTTTTTTATGAACAGTTTGACACCAAGAAAATGTTGCTCTATAGGCATTCCCAATGAGCATATTTTTTTTAATGTGCACCAAAAACATAACTTATAAAGTGTATCTGGCCAGGCAAGTACCTACCTGCTAAAAACCAAAAGTGTCAAACCAATAATTTTAGCAGTTGGAGCTGTTTTTTGCATTTCAAAAGAATATATGCCTGTATTTTATGACATGCATTTTTGGATCTGGAGGGCCAGATAAACTGCCTTGGGGATCCAGATCAAATATTAGTAAAGTAAAGTAAAGCATAGGGAAACACGAAGCGCCCGATGGAGTGGGAGAAAAACTTTTGAATTTTGAAAATCCCTTTATTGTCCCACAATGGGGAAATTCACTCTCTGCATTTAAACCATCCCCTTGGGGAGCAGTGGGCTGCCATTGTGCAGCACCCGGGGAGAAGTGTAAGGTTAAAGGTTTTGCTCATGAACCCAGAGTGGAGGCTGTGGGGATCGAACCGGGTACTTGCAACCCTCTCAGAGCACAAGCGCACTGCTCTAACCACTAGGCCAACACTCCCCCATTTTCTCCCTCTTTTTTAAGGAAAAAAAAAAATCTGAGAAGTTTAGCATATATCTATATTTAACCACCTTCCCTCAGCTACCCTTCAATTCAATCTGGTACAACCACTTACATTTTTGCAGTTTGTCACTAGCCAGTTCAGGGACAGGGCAGACAGTGATTACATGGTCCTCAGGCCAGATGAGGGAATACACATGTTTAGATATGTGTAGTAATTAGGTGCATCTAGTTGAGTAACTATATAATAAATTGCCATGGAGGTCATGATGTGGACCAGGCATTAAGTTTAAAACCTATGTGCTAATTGGTGAGCATGTGTTAAAGAAAAACACTCAAGCTACAAAACCTTGAAAATCAATTCATATCATTCAACTTTTCCATTCAAATATTAACTAGACTCATTGATGTACAGTATTTTTGGGAGGATTCTACATCACAGCTTTATAGGAAGTACCATATGATTGTCAAGTTGAGAAGAAAAAAAATTTGTTATTTTTTTATTATTATTTGTTATTCTTGACGTATTTTTGAAGTTTCATTTTAATGTTATTTTTTTGTGTAAAATGTTAACCTCTGAGAGAGTACTTTGTAGAACCACTGTCAACTTCATCAACATTATTTATTCTGTCTAAAAAATTTTGAAAAATGCTCTTGTTCTTCTGCACCCATTTTCTTATTTTTGTGTATTTGATATCATCTTATAAAAAATATAATCTAATAAAAATGTGAAACAACTGTAACCAATGAATATTTTTAAATGATTTAAAAAAAAAAATGCAACAAACAGCATTTGTATTAGGAAATAGCTCCCCTTCATTTCCTAAGTGTAAATGTGCCATTTCCAAATATGGTATGGGTCTCCCATGTTGTCAGTCTCCGCCCCTTTCTGAATGCTGGGCGGAGAGTGCTTGGAGCATACTTGGCTACCTGTTACTGGCCAGTGAGACTTTAAGGGTAGGGGCAGAGAGATTTGCTACATTTTATTAGTTCCTTTTATTTTAGCCCAATAAAACAGACTGCCATTTGTGGTTAAAACAAAACAAAATGTGAAATGGTTCAAGAGATTAGAGGGATAATGTTGACATGTTCGATTGGGGGTTTTCTTCTGCATTTTAGCAGGGAAACTGATTTCTCTGTCATCAAATTAAATAATATAAGTGTTATATTCCACTGTTAAATCTTACAATTTCACAGAATCAAACTTCCAAAGAAAACCTGAACTTCCCCTTTCATAGTTTGCTCACAGTTTCCAATTGACTTCCCAAATCGTCACAAAAATCAACATAAGGTGGCTTCTCTGAGAAGGTACCATAGTACTCTGAAAGTAAATAGCAAGAAAGACAAGACCTAAGCTGTGGTAGCCCAACCAAAAATGGAAGGAAGGTTTTCTTTTAAACTTTAAGAAAAGTATAATCTACATTTCTGCTGTGTTTGGAAAGAAACCTCAAAAAAGTATAATGGTCTGAGTAATATTCCATTACAAACTATACAAGTGCTTGTTTAATACCAGAGTCAAACACATGGCCATCCAAACAGAACTGGAACAAGTCAACTAGATTTATGAGGTTACAATAAATGTTACTGGTTGCAGGAACTAACTGTTTTGTGTTGCATGTTTGGGTCGGAGGAATGTTTTAGTCTTTCATAAACAGCTTTGGAGTTGCAACAAGAGAACTGAGCCTTCTGAGTTTATACTGCAGCCAGGGGCAAGAGGGAAACCCTCTCATGCCGAGGGAATAACTGACCTATTTCTGTTGTTCTGGAAACTCTGCAGGCCAATTGCACTTTGGTTTAGATAATCGATGATATAGTGTGACCAAAACTGTTTAAAACATTTTAGCTTTTTTAATGAAACGTTAAATTAAATGGTATGTGCAGAGACGGAAAGATTTTAGACACCTAGAAAATGTCTATAAGGAAGACTAAAAGGTGTCACAGCTGCAAAAAAAAAAAAATCTTGGATGAAATTAAATTCTCATTAAGTTAACTTGCTCTTTTTGCCTGAGGGCATTAACAATAGTGGCGGAGTTCGGTCTGTATTATGCAATAGGTCGGTCAGTCAGTCTGTAGGTAGCTAAGAAGGACCTATTCATTCTAACCTGATCTTAATCTCACCAAGATACTTTCATCATTAAATAAATAAGCAAACCAGAAATAACCTAGAGAAACATTACACTGTTTATAGCGGTATAGCAAACAGAGCATTTAGTGAATGAATAGCTGATTTAAAGCTCCAACATTATGCTTATTGCTATGAGTCCCTCTCTTTGTAATATTTGAATGCAAAGAGTGTTAGGATTGTTTTTATGTAAGCTGAGGGGAAAGTTTGTGAGAGGTAAAAGCAAAGCAAGGAGACATTCCAAGGAAGCAACTCTTAAGTTTTACAACTTGCTGGTTATCTGGCAGATATTTGGTGTTGAATCTAAACTTTCTGGTAGTTTTGTGTTGTAATTTTGAGATAAATCATTTGTAGCTGAGCACTTCTGATCAGGTAACTGTCCCCTTTTTCACAGAATGCGTCGGCTGGAGTCAGTCAGATGCTCCTAGGAAATAAATGCGACATTGAAGCGAAACGGAAAGTTTCCAAGGAGACGGGGGAAAAGGTGAGAAACTACAACTGTTTGACTGTAATTAAGTTTTAAGCTCAAGTTTTAGTTTTAAAGGCATATTTATAACTCCCAAATGTAAAGCATGGGGCAACACAAACTGCCTGATGAAGTGGAAGAAAAACTATTTGATTTTTTTTTTATTTTTTTTATTTATATGCTGTAAAAAAATCTGAGAAATTTAGCATACATCTATATTTAACCACCTTTCCTCAGCTACCCTTCAATTAAATCTGGTGCAACCACTTAACTTTTTGCAGACGTTGAGTATGGTCCTCAGGCCAGATGAGGGAATACTCAGGATTAGATATGAGTTATAACTAGGTGCATCTAGTTGAGTAACTATTTTTAAAAATTGCCATGGTCTGGATCTGGACTGTGGGCGTTGAGTTTGAAACATATTTGCTAATGTTAAGGATGTGTTTTTAAAAATAACAAAACACTTTTATTCTCTAATTTAAGCTGCAAATCCACGAAAACAATTTCATATCATTCAACTTTTTCATTCTTTATGAAATTCCAACTACACTCATAGGCAGTATTTTTTTCTAGGCTTTCTACATCACAGCTTTACCATATGATTGTTAAGTTGAAAGGGAAAAAAATTTTTTGAACCTCTAAGAACCACTGCCTACTTCATCAAAATGATTTTTTCTGTCTTTGATTGAGAAACTCTGTTTCTACGGCACAATTTTTCACATTTATTCATTAGTGTTTTTTATAAGGACCTGTTGTGTTTTTGTTATAATCTTATAAAAATATAGTCTGTAAAAATGTGAAACAACTGTAACTAATCAAGATTTTTAAATAAACTGAAGCGGAGTAACTTTTTGAAGTAACCCTAGTTTCTGGCTTCTCCACCCACTGTGAGTAACTTAGGGTACTCCATTCCTGTCTGGCCATACGTTAGAATGGCCAAGAATCAAAAAGTGTTTTTCCCAGATACATTAATAGAGCTGTATCTCTAAAGCCATTCAGCTGTTATTTAAAGAGCAGATGGCCATATGTAAGTTTTATTATCAACCTGTGTTTGATACCCATTAACCTTTTTCTCCACTTCATACTTATGCCTTATTTTCTCATAGAATTTTTGATCAAATAAATTATATAATGTGTGCTTCACCTGACCTAATATATAAAAGACACAATGTCAAAATGACTGCTGACATCTCTGGTCTCCCAGCTTTAAAGTTGCTTGACATAATTACCAGGATGTGGCTGTAAGTCATGTCCCTAACTCTGTTGACAGTTGGCAAAGGATCATGGTATCAGGTTCTTCGAGACCAGTGCAAAGTCCAGCATTAACGTGGAAGAGGTGAGCCATACTGAATCCACCCTGACTGCACACCTCACTGAACTTTAGGCATGTTTTCTGTTAATACTCATGTTATCTGCTTTCGTGTTCCAATCTGTCTGTTCAGTCTTTCCTAGCTTTAGCGAGAGATATCCTGCATAAATCCACCAAGAAGCCGGTATGTAAGAGCTTCTTTCAAATATTTTCCATGTGGAGGAAAGATGTTTGACATTGCGTCTGTTTTTCCTCTTTAAACAGGGATCCGCAGGAAAAGTGGTGAAGATCACCAGCAGTACGGAGAAACAGCGCTCAAAGTGTGCCATTCTCTAGAAGGGATATCCACAATATACCACAGACATTTAAAAGTGCATTTGTTTTTTATCATGAAAAGATACTACAGCTCTCTGTCACCATCTGCTGGCTAAAAAGATGTAATGCATAGAGTATGATTTTTATACCTAAACTGTATTCTGTATTTCTGTTGAAATCTTTTAGTTTACAAGAATTAAAGCATGTCCAAATTAATTTATTACTCTGACAATGTATCTGGGGTTTTTTTGGTGGGTTTTTTTGTTGTTGTTTTTTTTGTTTTTGTGATAGATGACACAAAATTGTCCTGAAAGTGTCCAAAAGCCTGAACCCATGTTTCATGTCTCTTGTTTCCATGCAAAGTCCTTGTAGATTATACCCACACTGATTATCATTTGTACACCAGCACTCTTCTATAATGTGATCTTTTATTATTTTAAGCACACCCTGTAGCAATTTTAAGGAGTTTGATGTGGGATATTCTGAATTATAGATCTATAAAATTTAAAGGACTCTTTTTTTTGTGTGTGTTTGTTTTAGTCATTTTACGTAAAAGTCCAAGTGACAAACTCCTATCAAGCCTATTTAGGGCTTTTAAATAATAAGAGCAAATTATTAGAACATAAATGTCATTAGTAGTTATTGTTCTGGTCAGAGATTCTGTTCATATAGCATTAATACCACATATTAGTTTTTAATATGATATATTTGTTGTCGTTTTTTTTCATTGGGTGGAATGATTATAAAAAAAAACTTTTTTTTTTATGTGATGTTTATGTGGGGGGAGGCAAATTTGAATTCACATGGGATCAAATATTTACATACACCCCGACTGATGTATAGATAACATTCAGCAAGTTGCACATTCACTACGTACCTTTTTGTAGGTAATAACAAGCCTCTGTCTTGGTTCAGTTCAATTCAGTTTATTTATTTACCGCCAATTCACAACACATAGAAATGCACTTTATAGAGACAATTTAATCAAGTCATGTAGACAAGCTGTTAAAAAGTTCATCTGAGGTCTCTTCCTGCATATATGAACACTTGATGTGATTGAAATTGCAGCATTCATTTTAATAAGTTGATGAACTTATACTAAGCCAACTTTTATGCATAGTCTGGAAGTGGTCAATAACATGCAAGCTGGACCTTTAGCGTGGTAATTACAGAAGCTTAGTAATAGCCACTTTATCCACTTCAAAAGCAATTAAAATATGTATTTTCAGTATTTCCGTAAACACAATTTTGTGTAAGTTTTGCTTTCCCATTATTAATCTATTCACTTTTTACCCCACAGCATGACCATGCTTGATTTTTGTTAAAGCATTTTTAGCTCCAAACCCTGAGAATTACCTGTCTTATTTGTGGCTAGACGTCTCTGTTGCATTCTTGTTTTTGAAATCTGTAAATTTATATGCTGTATTATTATCCCAAGCTGAAGAGAACACAATAAAATGTATGGCCCCAACTCATTAAGGCTTCTATTTCCATGAGGAGTCTATAATCCCCCTAACCTGATGACTGTTTGCAATAATTTGGCCATGCGAGTACGCAATAGAAAGATTCAACATTTCCATATTGTTTACTTCCTCAGAACTAAATGACTGCAGAATGTTCAGCACATTTAACAATCAATGAGAGATTGTCATTAAATGCTAACTATCTTGACAACGTCCTGTTATGCTCAGTGCATTTTTAAATCTCTCACCATATAAATATGTCCCACAAATGGAATCAAACCACAAGCTGATTGGAAAACATGCCTGTTTTAGTAGACTGATGAAGAATGTGGATAATATCGAACAGATTAAGGAGTGCAATCTGAGAAGTTTAGGAAGAGATGGGGAAAGGGTGAGTGTTAATAACTAAGAAGGAAGGAGCGGAGCATTCATGCCTCCCACAGTGGATTGATGTTAAATGGGTCTGCCTTTTATCTGAAGTGCCTGAATGCTACCGCACATTAGCAACATTACTGTCTTCCTGTTTAGGCAAGTTTTAAAAAGCTGAAAATCACTCCTCTCTGCAGGTGCTAATTATGGCAGCTTGTGTTTTTTTTTTCTTTTTTTTTTTTGTTTTGCCTACAGACCAGAGTTCATTTTTGGATTATTTGTTAAGCCAGAATTGGTCTATTGGAAGTACTGTAAAAACCTGATTTTCCATAAATAGAAGTTAAATACAATTATAAGTGCTTCTGATTATAATTGTTTTCAGATGCTTCGATGTTTTCTACTACTTCCTTGAATAGATTGTGCAAAATGTTGTTTTAATAAACGTCTAAATAGGATTGAAAGGCCCAGCTTTCTTACTGTTCATGCAAAGTGGATGTATTTCATTGAATTACAGGGCCATGAAGCATTTTTAACCCTTAATTTTTCTCAGAATATCACTCTTTAAAAATAAAACTGAAAAAAATACTCAATAATGCAAGTTTTAATAATACATGTTTAATAAACATTTTTAATAAAAGTTTGTATATGGAAGCTTAACTTGGATAAAGCAAACTGATTTTTAACTCGTTGGGATCGAAGTCCAAACCTAGATTTGATCCATGCAGTCTTTCTATTTCTGTTTCACACTGAATGTCTCGCTTTTTTTCACTATCACATAAAATTCCAATAAAACACATTCATGACTGCGACTGTAACAAGGACATATACGTTAAGTTGAATAGCTAATTTAGTTGAATTAAAATATGTTATTAAAATTCAATGAAACCTGTGTATTTTCAGCATAAAAAGCAACCTTTTAAGTAATAATCTGACCAATAAACAAGCAGTAGTCCAAATTCACGTGTTATTTGGGAAGCAAAAGCATAAACACCTGTTCAATATTAGGTGACAGGATTATACTGAAATCACTACTTTATTTTAAGTTGTCTCAACATATCTTCTTATTAATATAAATGTATTTTAACCGGCTTATATTCAGCAGGAAAACGCAGTTATTTGAGTTACATAAAGCATACAACAACATATTAGAGTTTGCAAAGCTGATGAAGGAAAATATGTTCACCATAAATAATAAGATGGTGATGCACTGTATTTGGTTGGATCAATAACATCAAACACTTGTAGTTTTTATTGAGAAATGATAGCAATATTTATTTGGTGTTTTCCGAAAATATGAGCAAACAGTTCAGGTGAGCCGCAAGCAGGATTAATAGGCCGTTCTTCTACGTGAAGCTGCTGCAGAAGGACTTGGAGCCTGTCGCCATGGCAGCCGCCCCTCCTCCCCAGCATCAGCACCACCGTTATGACTGCGCGCGTACGAGCTGCCGCATCTCCGGAGCTGACCGCACGTTTTGCGTGCCGTGTCATCATCACGCATGCGGAGCAGCTTTAAGGATTGCAAATGCAATTATTTCCCTGAAGTGTTGACAGAGGGATGTGTCGAGAGAATGAGCTGAAGAAGGATTGATGAAGATGAACAAGGATATAGTAATGTGATATTTGTGCATAGTTTATAGTGATGTCGATGTGAGGCTTGGTGGGAGGGAGAAAGGTAAACGCACACACACACGCACACGCACACCAAAAACACGGACTGTACGGGATACCCGCGTGACTGCGGGGAGGATAAAAAGCGGAGGAGAAGGAATGGACCGTCGTAAAAGCTCAGAGATGAAGTTATAAATTAATAATTTTTTCTATCCAAGGGAAGATCATCCGATTCAACCTGGCATTTTAATTTTATTTTATTTTTTGCAGTTAGAAAATCTGTAACTGGATAATAGTGTTGATCTCGAAGTCGCAATATTTTGACCGCTTTCCGGACGGACCGATGTCATCCTCTGTTAATTTTGGTATCCATTTCCTCTGATAGGATGAGCTGCTCTCAGATCGCCAAATAGGTCCTGATGAGCGGGAGCGCGATGCTGCAGGGAGCGCAAATCAGCGAGCGATCATTGGCCGCTTCCTTTGGGACGGTGGAAGAACCCGCGGCCTGCTAGGGGCCCCGGTTATACCGCAATGCCACATGGGCCGAGAGGAGGGAGAGGTAGAGGAGAGCAGGAGGGGAGGAGGGAGGAAGGTAAAAGCAAATGATTAAAAAAGGGAATATTTAAAACAGGCTCTTTGGTGCACTTAAGGTTTACTTTGACTGGACAATCAAATCTGTTCTCAATGTGCTGTATGAGTTAAAGAGGACTGCATCAGTCTTAGCAGCAGGGTTATAACATCAGCTGAAGTGAGTTGGAAGGGGGGTGCTTGATTCTCAGCTTTCTGCTGACCAAGTTCTTGGACTAACTGACCAGACTGGATTTGCAACTCAAAACGGTTTAAGGAATGAATTGACACACAGTTATGCCAGCATTAACCTCTGCTCCTTCCATGCTCTGCTTTCCTGTGGTTTAACCCACACTAGTTGTGCACAATAAACATCTCCCAGCCTCTTCATACACACACATCCATATAGAGGAGCAAAGCATGCCTTCACCTTCAGACTCCAGCAGTGTGGCCTCAGCCTCTGGATCTCGCGGTTGGTCTGACAGCCGCAGAGGCATGTCAGGGAGGGGTCCCGGTGGGGCCCGTTTGCTTCTATACCTTGGTCTGTGCCACCTGGGACTAGGAGCCATGGTCCTGGCCTTCTCCTTTACCAGCATGGCCTTTACCTCGTCTGCACGCGTGAGGCAGTCCTGTCCGTTCTGGGCTGGCTTCTTTGTGAGTACAATTGACTGATGCCTATTTCAAAATAAAACCAGATTGACTGTAAATTGTATGGGGTTTTTTATGTGTATCTGTGCTGTATAGGTGGTGGCATCAGGGGTAGTAGGAATAATCTCATGGAGAAGACCTCTAACACTGGTGGTATGTTTTTCACTACATTTTTTATTTATTTTTCATGATCGCAAGGTAAGGAATACATGTGGGCTATTCCTTCTTCTCATTGCAACCACATATTTTAATACATGTTTTCAGCAAAAAATAAAAATTATAAGAAATTTATCATTGTAAAGGGGAAGAAAAATGTATTACATTTATTTTGCAAATGAAATTAGAAGTAGGTAACATTTATATTCAGTCACTTTTAATCTGATACCCAGAAATTCAAGAGAAGCATATTGCCTTCAGATGTCACCCTATTTTAATAAAGTTTCCTCATTTATGGATCTAAATTGTATCGCAAAACAAGAACATTTAGAAAAGGGGTTTAAAATTTCCAATAATTTTCCTTTTTTTCACAATTGTAAATAGATAGATGGAGAATTTATACTTTATTAATCCCAAAGGGAAATTTATGTGAACACAAAGAAGCAGAAAGTACAACAGCATTTAATAGGCAAATATTAAGGACAGTTTAAATATTGAAATATAAGCAGTCTTGTCATTTAACTGCATGCTAGAAATAGAAAAATCTATAGCGAATAGTTTAGTGTTAATTCTGCTAGGCCAGGCATCCGACAGCTGTAGGAATAATATATAAAGCTCATCTTTGTGTTGGTCTATCAAAACAAACAAACAAACAAAAAACAATTAAATAAAACCCATGAAAGTTTGAGTTTGCAATATGACATATGCATTTTCCATTTCAGCTGCATAAAAACTTGCAAAAATGCAAATTTGCATGATGATTAATATATTCTTCATGAGAGATAATTTATCCTCATGTTAAAATCCTCATGTTTACATATGTGAAAGATCTTATTATGAATTTAGATTTATTATTTTGTCATTTTAAATGCTTTATACTATTCAATAAATAAGTTTCAGTCAAACTGCTAACATTTCAGCTGCTTGAATTTGTTCTTTATTATTTCACTGATTATTTTGTCCTTTCCTATAATATAAACAAAACATCTACTTCTGTGTCCTTCACTGTCATCTGTTCTCCATGTTTGCCTGCAGATAGTTTTAATAACCTTTCTAAATTAAGCATGGCCTCTGCATCCCTCCACAGGTGTCGCTGTTCATGTTGCTGTCTGCAGTCTGTGTGATCCTCAGCCTGGCCGGCTCAATGCTCTCCTGTCAGAATGCACAGATGGTCAAGTCTATGCTCACCTGCAAGGTATGTATTACCTTTAGCCCTCCTTTCGCTAAAATGTCCTTTTGAGCAGATGCATCCCGAACGTGCCAGGAATAACTTGAATAATGTGAAAGAGCATAGATCATTGCTTCAGTGCAATTCACTCTGTATGATAATGTGTGTAGGTGGAGAATGGTGTGTGTGTGTGTTGTGCAAACACAAAGCCTTGCTCCATGGGGGATGAGGATACCCTGGTTCTTTCCCTAAATGTGGACTGTCACTCAGTCAGACATCAATTAAAGGTAAGCACAGGGCACCCTTTACTTATTAGCACCTACAGGGGTGGGTGCCAATCAGTTTGTCTAAGTTCCAATAAGTTCAACTTTGGCTTGTCAAAAATTATATTTCAGTTGAAAAAAAATACATAATTTAGTCATAGAGAACATATGACAATATCGGATCATGTGGAGATACGGATCTCTTTGCGGACATTCTCTAGATTATTCAACCTCCTGCATTTTCTGGTTCCAGCCTCCTATTAGATTATCTTAAAAACAACAACAAAAACAGGTAATCTAGTGTTTGGCCAAGAATTTCTATGCAGATATTGCCATACTTTTGGGGTCGATATCTTCCTAAATAACATATTGAAAACCACTTTTTTGTTTTTTTTCAGAAGCAAACAGCACAGATGCACTTACTGATAGGCCCAGATTTCCTTGATTTTGGGCGATCGGCTACTGTTTACATGTAAAAGCTGATCTTATCCTCTGATATTATCTACCTAAAAGGTCTAGCCACTGTTGATGATTTTGACATTTCTCTATATACATTGTAACCTTATAAAATCTGGCATTATTTATTATAAAAAACATAATAAAAAGATCTGTATATACCAGTATCAGGGTGTTGCTATGCACTCAGTCAATATGCGAAAAACCTCAGGAAGATAAAAGGCCCATAGCATACAGATCCCTCACCATACTTTGCATGTGCCATGAGATGTTTTTCCACATTTTCCTCCTTTGTTTCAGAACAGACAAACGTGGACTGCCTGTTGAAGAAATACTTGGTGTCACCTGACCAAAGCTTGCAGTTCCAGTTAAAGTCCTAATTTCCAAAATAAGATTATTTTAAGGTTTAATTAAACATATTTACCAAAGCTACAAACATTTATTGATAATTTTGTATTAAGTTAATCATAGGAAACAACTGTGAGCACAAAATGTTACATGTCAGAAAAATCACTCATAAAAGGTTGTTGTTGAGGTTTTATTCGTAATTCCTATTTCTCCCCAGGATCTTTTGTTCAGTGCATGTGGTCTCAGCATTCTCTCCACCATAATTTGTACGCTGTCGACTGTGACTTGC